CCTATCCGCGCTGTCCCCATGATTTGTTGCCTCCACCTTTGGCTAGGGCATGGGTGGTGCTCCTACTTGAACTCTTCATGTTCAGTGTCAGATGGGGGATGGGTGGCGACCTCAGTGTGAGACATTGGGAAGGCCTCCTGACGCCGTTTCTTCGTGCTAGTCCACAAACTAGAGGGCGGCGACTTCTGGGTTTGTGTAATTTTTTTGGTCTAAGAGGTTTAACTGATGAAGCTGCTGAAAACCGGTTTGCTTGATGGGAACCACCCTCCTTTCTGGGCAAAGAGATGTGAGTTGCGAAGGCTGCGCCACCGGCCGGAAGGGATGCCTTCAGTTGAAGTGAACTTGGGATACTTCTAGAACCTCATTTGTTCATCGAAACAGTAGATCGAAACATGTCGGGAGCCGTGGCACTATCTATCTCTCCCACGGATCCATTCTATGTTCAGTTGTGTTCGTGAATCCGTAACAAAAGCGGTACCTTATCCTACGACACGGCGTCTGACGTCCGTACTGAGATTCCCCCAAATCCCCTCAAGGCTGCACATAGAAGCCGCTGTCATAGCGATCAGCTACCATGGGTAACAGTCTCATCCCTGTGAAGGCTATTCACCATAGCCTTCCATTCTTTGGATCTGGATCTGAAAACAGAGCTTGGCTTTGGAAGATGCTTTTTGGCCACTTCGACCAGTGATCTTGGCGCTTTCTCCTCACCCACCAGCCGCTTTTGGAGCAAAGATCTCCGATGGAATAAAGAGGACATGCATGGATTTTTCTTGCAACGCTTGGAGCACCTGTATACAGACTGTACATGACTGTACTGTATATCATTATATATCGTATACCTCTTAATGCATGCCCACTCAAGTGCAACAGTTAATGAGAAGGGAGGTTGAAGAGAGGATCTAAGGAAGATCACTCGCGCCGCGTGTTCGGATGATTTTTTCAGGGCCCAGCTTCACCTTTCAATGTCCCGTCCATTTGGTTCACTCAAACATGGTCCCAGCTTCTTCCCTGAAACATCGCATTCCGACCGCGCTCGTTCGCTGAATGAGTCCAATCATGCCGAACCATGCGCAAAGACGCAGCCGCCACCGGCGCTGCCACCTGCTTGACACTTGGAAGCCAAGCTGAGTCCCGGGCCTGTTTTTTTTCCAGATTTGCGCGTGTCTTTGAGTCAGCTTAAGGCCAAATTTTGTGGTTTGGGTTGGTGGTTTGCTATTCTACCAGATATGTTTTTTGTTAAACCAGTCACCCACATGATTTCCAGAATCCCAGATTCTTCAAAGAGACCCAGAAACATAGGCAGTGCACGCGAGCAGAGACTGAAACATAGGCAGGTGACAGTTTTGATATACCATACCCTGCCTTGTACAGCCCATGGAAAGATCCAACCAAACCTGCTTGACGGTGCCAACACTTATTCTACCCGCCCTCGCAGCGATGTACACATGAGACAGCACAGATTCTTCGATGTAGACGTGTACACATCCTGAGTGTCTTTGGAATTTTCTTTGCCTCTTGCGGAGGTCAGAAGGGCTGGACAACTTCCACCAACCAAAGCGTGGTCGAAGAAGACTTCAATAGCGCAATTGAAGAGGTCTTACAATCCATGTTTTTTGTTGACTTATGAGTCTACAAGTGTCTGCAGGGTTTCACCGCTTCCCCTCGGTGCCGGTGGAGCACGGTTGCCCTGAAAAGACCAGAGAATAGCGCGGGTGACGGGGTGACTCTACTGCGAGCTTCAGTCGGAGAAGTTCAGTGAGTCAGTGCTGCCGACTCAGGCGGGTGCGGGAGCTGGGCCTCAAGGGTCGTTGGCAAGAAGCCTTGCAGCTCTTAGAGGGCTTGTCACTTGGCTCCAGCAGCTGGATGCTTTTCGGATGGGAGCGCCAGCAGGAACTGAGGGGGATTGCAGGAAGTGTATGCTGGTTGCTTAGGCTTCGTGCTCCTCGTTGGAGAGTCGCATGGAACCTCTCTCGAGGTGGGTGTTTGGAAGACCATTTCCTTCGACAACCAGTCATTGCCAGTCATCAAAGTCCATATCAATCGGTACCTGGGCGGATCGCGAGCCATCCATGGGACTGGAATCGTTACACCAGTCATTGACTGGACGCGTACATGGATGGGGTAGATGGGTCAGTAGATAACTCTTTCCAGTCCACGGACCGAGAGTGGATGTTCATTCTTTCATGCCGCGTGACTCGATGACCCTTAGAAACACCTGTGAAGAAACGAGCGAACAAGGAATCACAGATTTACACGACGTGGCACACCCAGAGTACTCTCTGAAAATTCTGTCACGTGAGTGTTGTGTGTTGCATGCACCTGTGATCAGTGACTCTTCCATCTCAGACCATCGATGGGGCTGGAATAGTTACATCGTGTTAATGCCCGGTGTACTATGATACCCAGCAATGTCAGTAACTATATTCCAATCCCATCGATGCTTTGGGTATGGTCTTCCAATCCCAACCAGGACGCCTTCCGAGATCGATGGAGTCACCTACACCGCTTCGATGTGGGCATGCGTGAAGTCTGAGCAATGGGAGCATGCAGTGAGGCTTTTTGAGGAGCAGTGGACTGTGGGAAGTGACTGCAACAATCTAGCTGCAAAGACAATTGTTGGGTACAAGCAGCGTTTTGGATAGCTTTAGGCTTTGGGTTAAACATACGATTCCGCCGTGCTGGTGTGGTTTTAGCCTTTTTAGCTGCTTTAGCTTTAGCTCTTGGCTGATTTTGTCCCACATAGATTTTGCTTGATTTTGCCCATCAGCACTGACCATTGATCCCAATCATATCCCAAGGTGTCGGGGCGAAGGGAACGGAACGTTGACTACTGAGATCAAACATGTCCAAAAGGTTTCAGAAATTCAGCATTTGGCAACTCAACATCTTGGCTCACTGTGTGCTTGGACAGACATCTTAAGTTCAGATATGCCACACTTGGACAATGCGGTGATGATGACACTGAATGAGGAGACGTGCAACATCCGGAGGCTCCGGAGAAGTCAAAACATGCCAAAAAACACCAAGAGAGGTTGAGAGGCCGGACCCTGTAGTGGTACACATGGGATGGGCCATATATGGAGCTGTTCAAGTTCAACCTTTCTTGGCACCTCTTTAGTTGAGTTGTTTTTCATGTTTTTTCGTCGCATGGGTTTCCACAAAAGCTTGGCTCGTCAGGTGGAAGCGATGATGAGCGAACCGATTCGCGTGGGTTTTACTAGAGAGAACACCCACCAACAAATACACATGACTTGAGGACTTGAGGTGTGGGCCATATTTGACCAGCATTTTGAGTGGCGAAGTTCTCCAAGCTTAGGATTCTAGTGTTTCCTTCACACATCTCCCCAAAAATCCAGTTCTTTCAAGAGTTCTCCTGGGAGTTTGAGAGTCTCGTGTCACTTGTGATCCACAAATCTCGCGTCCCCCTCGCGTCGCCGCCGTATATGGGGCCATTTAAGGGTCCATACATTCAGCTGATGTGCCGTTCTCGATACCACCAGGACCAGGTCCTTTTCACAATATCCCAGACACGACCCATAAAACTGGCATATTTGCCGAGAAACGGCCAGAGGTGGTTGAAAGGAGATCAATGTAGGTAAATATGCCATTTCCATGGAGTGTTTGGGTATGAGAAACCAACCATATCCCTCTTTGTGTTCAGGAGATGCAGCAGCAGTTCCGTGTTCACAACGACACAGTGTCCTGTAATGCAGCCCTTTGCGCTTATCAGCAAGCTGGGCGTTGGGAAGATGCCTTGAAGCTGCTGCAAGAGATGCAGCTGCTTGGACCGACAGTCACAAGAAAAGGCATCATGAAGCCATGTTTTTCGCCAAGAACATGACCATCAAGAGGTTGTGTGACATGGTGGTGAGAGTGATGTTTTTGGCACTCTTGAGTGAACCAAACATGACTTCGACGCGTTTGCGGTCGATGTCCAAGTGCGTTTGCTGGTGCCGGTGGACCGTTTTCTCAGTTCCAAGGTCGACCCTATCGAAGACCGGAGTTCCAAACCACCCAAGAGATACCCAGAGAGATACCCAGAGTGTATGTTGTCAAACAATGCACGTTTCTGAAGAACTAAGAACTTCTTTCACCGAAGTGGAAAGGGTCAGGAGGTAGTTCCCATGGAGTTGTGTGTGTTTTTTGGCATCCAAACACGGCCGAACCCCACGGAACGGCCGGAACCCCACGGATGTTGTCCTCCGACCGCGCACGGACGGCGCGTCCGCCGCGCTGGGTCGGCGAGGTCGTCCGCAGATGTGATCAGCTACACCGCTTGCCTCAATGCCTGTGCAGATGCTAACCAATGGGCACCTTGCCAAATGGCAGGTTGTGTCGGAGGGGTTTGGCCGTTGACCCAAACTGGGTGAATCCGGCATTGAGAATCGGATGTGTCTGTCCCAGACACGAATAATGGGACTGTCATAATATGCCATGATATGCCGCCCCATTGACCCCCCAATCAACCACCCCTGGCCGTTTCTCCGCAGTCCGAATCGGCAGTCCCAGACTCGTCGTGTCTGGGTATTGTTCCCGGTGGTTCGCACTCCAAGGCGCAAGCCTTTGCCGTGCACTCCTCGATGTTGCAAGGCCGACGCTCCGCGACGGCGCTCGTGAGACCGCCCAACTGGTTCCCCCCCAAACCGCTACTTTCAACACATCGCGGTAGACGTTGGAGAGTGGTTCCCACAAGAGAAGGAGTGGTTCCCACAACGCGGCCGGTATAAACGTTTGATTTGAAGAACCGTTTGGTTCCTTCTGGCTGAGTGGAACGGTTTCAAAGAGAATCAACACCATGTGTCTCCATGTTTCTTAGAGAACCAGCGCCCTCGTGGACCGGCGATGCGATCTGATTCGCCTTCATCGAATCCACCGTCGAATGAGTTCAACCCATTGACTTAGGCGGAGTGGCAGCGACCTCCAGTACTTGCAATGCAGTGGTGAGAAGCAGCAGAGATGGAGCGGCCTGGAAGAAGCAGCTCCAGCTCCTGGAAGAGATGAGGCTTACTGAATAGTCACCTTTCACCTTTCATCCTGGGGGTCTGGAGCAATTCTGGGCGTCAGGTGTGAAAGATCTTTTTCGGAGATGTTGGACTGGGTTTGGCGCCAGGCGCCAGGTCAAGCTTTCTTTTGAATCTTGGTGGGGTCGGGCATTCTACTTCATGGATTTAATTGGCCAATTGCCCAAGAGGAAATCCCCCAAAGATGAATCTTTGATAGTGTGGGGCCCTTTCTGCTGCCTCGAGACACAAAAAATCAATAAAACAACAATGGTCATTAATGTATTTACAGTAAGTTTAAGTATTTTACCAATTATATCAAGTAATGTTTGCAGTCGCAGGTCACTTTGTATGATTGTCTTCCTGGTTGCCATCTTTGTTGTTGTGAACTTGAGGAGCACGAATCGCAGCATCCATGTCACTGCCTCGGATTGTAGTGGCAGGCTAAGCAGGCCCTTGATTGGTCTTGGCATTTGTTTATCACCGCCATTCTCCAGTTTTCGTGTGTATGTTTTCGTGTCCTAGCCGCCTTCCTTTCGACCATTTCGAGAAAGTTATAAGCTGGTACCGTAGTCTCAATGGTTCGTCAAACCATGGTTCCTCGTGAAAACAATGAGACAAAGCAAAACAAAAAAAACGGAACCGGGTTGGGAACCTCGTTGGGAACCATATAGGGTACCAGATACCTTCTGGGACCATAATCGGAGCACAGAGATGCCCGACTGAGTCCTCGTCGCTCCAACATGGGTGGCCTTTCCGTTGGGGGGAAGGCCGGCAGCTCGTGAGCTGGCGGGCCGGCCGGGCGCGTGGAGGTGGAGGTGAAGAGCCCATGGTTGGACCTATCTTCACCATCCACCATTGACTAAGGAATATGCCAGGGAAATGATGGACCATGACTAGATGCCCCTGAAGAAAATGATGTTGATGCAAGCAATTAGAGTTGCACCCCTCTCGCAAGCCGGTGGCTGTTTTCGCCAGAATTTATCTGGACCTTGAACCCATTTCTGCGGCGTCAGGTGGGTTTTTGAGTTCTCTCGTGACACATTGGACTGCTTGTGCAGGTTCCGGAACCTTCAACCAGATGCTGCTGCCTTGAATGCTGCGGCCAGCGCTTGTAGCCAAGCAGGGGAATGGAGGCAAGGATGTTTGAAAGTTACGTGCTACAGGGTGTGACTGCGCGGCTGCTCGTGCCATAATCATATATAATCATTTCATGGCCCCTTTGTCTGTGGAAACTTAATCAAGCTTCTATGCATGCATGTGGAAACTGAAGAAGGTCGATGAGGTCTAATATTAAAGATCTTAGGACCATCACGCGACATGGACAGCAGGTTTTACCTCTTGCCACATCCGATCAGCACCAGGTCGGCTCTGGAGATGATGTCCTCCATGTGGCAGCGAGCTTTGCAACCCGATGTGCCCTGGACCATGTGATTTTTTTGGGAGAGATCTGCAAAGGGTGGGTTCAGCTGAGATGTTGAAGGCTGAACTGTGTTCTCCTGCCGTTGGTTTGACTTGCATGGCTTTGGTTGCTTGGGTGAAACGGGGTAGTCGACGTTTGAGGCCATGAAGTCACTCTCGTTTGAGAAAGGTTTTGCTTTCCTTAGGACAAGGCCTTCTGCGACGTCATAGACGTTTGCGGGCGCTGCGGCCAATGGCAGGAGGCCGGACTCAGAAGACACCTGCAACTCCAGGGGGGTGGTCGAAGTGCTTTCCCCCCAGGTTCGAGAGTTGGTCCAAGGCTTGATTCCTGGGCTTCAGTGCTTGGAGGGCTTGGAAGACATGCTTGTCCCAAGTTCTCAAGTTGAAGCAAGAATCCCACAGACTTGGGACAAAGCTCCCAGCCCCACCGGGACAAAACCATGTAGCCAGCTGCTGTACTTAGTAGCCGAACACCACGAACGAATCCAGGTCGCCTTCTGCCTGGACTGTCCGAGCACCACCAGGGCTTATCCATGTCGCAAGATCCTTGCAGGAGCCACAATGAGAAGCATCTCACATGGGAGCTCACCATTTTTTGTAGACCGATTCGGGCACTTCGTGAGAACCGGAAGCTACTTGGATCTATGGAGTTATACGCATGGATAGATCACATGAGACACCAAGAGAGGTTTTTCACAGCCCCCTTTTTTTGCCCATCCCAGATGTACCACTAACTAGGGTCCGGTCTCTCAACCTCTCTTGGCAAGTTTGGAACCACCGTTTTGGGCCGACCTGCACTTCTCCCCTTCGTTCCTCCAGGCCTTGCGCATCTTCGATCTTCATCGAGCCACCGCCTTGGCGCCCTGCGCGGCGGTCCATGCCGCAGCCATGCGCGCGTGCGGCCGGACGCAAGCGTCACGAAACCGTCTGGTCGGGACATGGAGATGGTTGGAAGTAGCAGTTGGTACCTCCCAAAAATGGGCCGGTAGTACCGTTGGAGCTGTTCTTGTGTTCAAGTCCCATGTCCCATGTTCTTTCGGTACTGGGTCAGTCGGGTCCAGAAAGATGTTGAAGATCCAGATCTAAAGTAAGGGGAGACCCCAAAACTTCTAATAGGTACACGTCCTGCACGTCCTGTCTTTCGAAGACTTAGTGGTTTGCTTGATTTACAGGTTAAAGTCACAGGTCTCATTTGTGCAGTTGTCATCCAACAATTTGTATAATATATTTCATGGAGTCTCAGTTTGGGAAATGGTTACTGCATACCTTTTGAAACATGTTGAAAAGCACGGTCAGGTTCCATCCTACCAACAAGGCTGGAGACTGCATACACCCAAGCCCGACAATAGTTCCTTCAACGCGTTAAAAACCGTTTGCTCCCAAGAGAGGTTGAGAGACCAGACCCAGTGGTATATCTGGGATGGGCAAAAAAAAGGGGCTGTGAAAAACCTCTCAACCAGCAGTCACAAGACGGGGTGCTTAATAGAGGTTCGGAGTGCCCAGCTACTCCACTCACTGGATGGGACCAAACACCACCCCTTTGTGACTGCTGGAAGAAGAACTGTACCTAATCTGAACATCTCAACCCTCACCAGTGCCGCATAGGGTCGACTCGTCTCGCCGTCCGAGGTGGGGGGGGCTCGCTGGCCCATGGCGCTGCAGCTCTTGGAGCAGCTCTGGGAAACGCAGACGCCCGACGTCGCGTGCTACGAGGCGGCGCTCCACTGCTGCGAGGAAGCACGTGCCTGGACGGAGGCCGGATGAGGTCGTAGGCGTTCGTTTCGGCTCCTCAATTTGAAATGTATCGGAAAGAAGTTATGACTTCAACTTATCAACTGATGATGAGACTTAGATGTGGAACCGTTCGATCGACTATGTGACTAGGTTCAAGATCGTGGGCGCTCCCATACTACTCCGGCTGACTGGCAAATCCGCGCTATTTGTGGGACACGCTCCGAGCTGCGGGTGTGACGTTTGTCGTGCACGCACCCGAGGTGGAGAGGCTCTACGAAGAGATGTTGAGCTACAACTTGGAACCCGGGGAAGTCAGCGACAAGGCGGTTTCTTGGATGCTACGAAGTGTTTTTCAACCAAGAGAGGTTCTCACAGCCCTATATATCGCCCATCCCATATGTACCACTACAGGGTCCGGTCTCTCAACCTCTCTTGGAGCCCTGCAGTTTCTGGATGCTTTTTCGTTCAACCTGTCGTCCTCCGCTACCCGAAGAAAAACAGTTCTGGAAGGGAGGAGGAATCGGATTAGATAGACAGATTAACTGGGAGCTGTTGAGTAATGAAGGTCTACAACAAGGCGAGCATCTACTATTCAAATGGTTATGTTGACATATGTTGACCAACTCTATTTGCAGACTTCACTTCCCTGAGACACAAAATACACCGTCGAGGGAAGTAGAACATGTGACAGCAACATTTGATGGTACATCAACACGTTCCGTGCAAGCTTCCATGGGAATAAACACTACACCAGTGTTTTGTGCGAAGTGGGCCGGAAAGCCTTCGCTGAGAAATATTGAGCATCACTGCGGAACTGCAGAACCATTGTGTTTTGACGCGTCAACGGGTTCACCCAGAATACATGGCTTTCAGGCAGGGTAGAAGCTATACAAGAAACACTTAGAAGTACCTGGTATAAAGTTCCTAAAATTTGCTAAAGACCTGGAAGGAACCATCACTATGACGTTTGTGTATGCTTTTTTTTTGTGTGTGTGTGTGTTCTGGCTCTTGGGATATCGATAGGGCTTGGGACTCGGACAGAAGCCATGCTTGGGACTCGATCCGCTGCGGGCCGCCTGCTTGGTGCTTCATTTGAGGGACGAGTGGGAAGAGCACATACAGATTCATTTCAGGGTTTTAGATGGTTTTACCAGCTTCTTCAAAGTGACCTTTTGAAGGTTCCTTTTCGTGACCCTGTTGGAAGCTTAAGTGACCGAACCAACCAGGTTATCAAGTACGGTCACTTTGAAGAACCAGGTAGATGGTTTTAGGGTTTGGATGGTTTTCGGGTTTTAGGGTTTGGAGGTCCCTTTTTTGCAGCTTTGAGAGATCCGGTCAGTTGCCTAGGAAACGATCTCTTCACGTTATTCGAGCGGGGCCATCGGTCGGTTCGACACCAGGTGTGCAGGTGTGAAGGTGCCACGGTGTGAAGGCGTGTAATTGGTCCGTTCGTTTCTTGCTTGTTTCATCGCCGAGGTGGAAGAACTCATGAGGATTAGGTCCTAAGGTCTGGTTGACGTCCGTTTGAAGGTGGATCAGTTTCGTTCGAGTGGTTCCCTTTGAAGGTTGCAGCAGCAGTTGCTACGACTGGCAACTGGGAACGTGGCTTGAAGCTTTTGGAGAAGCGTCAGGCGGGCGTGGTCACACCACGTGGGGAGAAAGCGACCGGAATCATCGCGTGTTTGTTTTGTGGCAGACAATAGCAGAGGGCCAGCGAATGGATCAAATGGATCAGCGATGGGCTTGCTTGCGAGGTGCAAATCCATGGAAGGTTTGCTGGAGGGTACTTTTAGAATCTTAGAATCTTATCATCAAATCAAGAGGGATGATTCTTTCATATTCTTTCATATGGCTGGGTGCTGATTTCAGATATGTTTAGTGTATATCTATATATTGTTATGAATGTTGAACCATTATTTGGGGTGATTGAAACCACTGAACTGAAACCGCCAACCAGATAGCTAACGTTTGCCACTGAAGTGCCACTCATGTGGAGGATTTCCAGCAACTACCCTGCTTGGTGGCACATACTGGACATTTGCGCCAGACCGGCGCCTTGAAGTGGTGAATCTGGTGGAGACCACTGCAGATCAGACCAGGTTCTTGTACCACAGAGTATTGCACTAAGACACTTGCTATGTAAGGGCAGCATCCAAGGGGCCAGCTCCCCTTCATTTGCGGGCTGATGGTAAGGCATTCGCATTCCACCATGTGGGGGTGAATAAAACAACCAAATACCACTCAATTGGCGTTCTTAATCCTTCGCGCTGTTGCCTCAGCTTGACGCAGATGTTCTATTTGAGTGTCTGTGGCCGTGAGGACAGCGCGGAAGTCATTGGTAACGTGGCAAGAGCTTGTGCCGAAGGACATCAATGGCAAAAAGTGTTGGAGCTGCTGGAGGACAGATCATTTCGATTTGAATGTCTTCGGAAAGCCTCGCTGTGCGGCATCAAGCATTCTCCGACTCTCTCAGATTGGCGCCAACCTCGCATGGTAGGGAAGTGACCCTTTGATCGTGGACAAAAGTGCGGCTCAAGGCATTCCAGCCTCCATCACGAACGATATTGCATATAGCTAGCTGTATACCAGTGCCGCCAGTAGTAGCGTCCATGGCTCTACAGCAGGCGTTGCTGGCTTTTGCTCTAGCACCACTTGCAGCTAGCGTTGGTGTGGAAGGTGCAGCGGAGTGTCCCTGCATCTCAGGTAGCGGGTGTCTAGGTGGTTGTCTTGAAACATGTTGTATATTTTTCTTTCTCCATCGACTATATTGACTAATTAAGAGTTGTTCCCCACTTACCAGGTGATTATTTTCGTCAGTTTTAACAAATGTGCTACTCCTTCCTTCCGCCGTTCCTTCCTTCCTTCCTTCTCCTCTCTTCCTGCCATGTTCTCATGTCACAGCAAGTGCCAGCTCAGTGGCATGCACGGACCTGGGCGCCATTGAGAATGCCAGAAGATATGCCTGATAGAAATGCCAGGAGATATATGCCAGTTAGAATGCCAAACATGTGCCGGAAGATATGCTAGATTGCCGGACAATGTTCCAGTTAAAGAGCCTGATAGGATTGCCGGTTAAAGGGCAGAAGATGTGCCAGAGAGAATGGCAGACGATATGCCGGATGAAATGCTAGATAGAACAAGATATTGGAAGACATTCTAGTTAGAATGTCAAGGTATGCTTGTCAGAACGCCAGAAGGTCTGCCATGTGGAATGCAAGAGAGAATGTCAGAAGACATGCCAGGTAAAGTGGCAGAGCGGATACGAGAAGATATGCCAGATAGAACACCAGACAGGATAGCAGACGATATGCCAGATAGAATAGGTGACAGGATGCCAGAAGAAATGCCAGCTAGAATACCAGAAGATATGCCAGTCACAAGATACGTATGCCAAGTAGAATGCCAGAAGACATGCCAATTTGAGTGCCAGATCGGACGTGAGAAGGCATGCCCCCAAGCAGCAAAGTGCTAATTAAACAGCCAGAAGATTTGCAAGAAGGGACGAAGATGCAGCGGTGAGAATGTCAGAACATATGCCAGCTTTGCCAGATAGAATGCCGGAAACGACATCAGAGGACATAGAATTGCCATAAAGGATATTGGAACATCTGTTGGGGCAATTTTGGGCACAATAAATGCCCACATACATGGCAGAACACATACAAGAACCAAAGTTTGACCATATGTCCCAGCACATATCGGAGCACTCCAAAAATATCCCAGCTCTTTGTTATACATGATGTGTGAGAGCACATCGCAGACTTGATGCCAGAGCAATTGTCAGAGCATTGCTTCAATGCGCATGTCACGCAGAGTTTGACAGCATAGTCTGTTAATACATGGCCTACCTTACCTTCTTTCAAACTGCCTGTTGGGGTCGGGGTCACTCGAAGTAAAGTAGCCCTTTTTGCTGCCATTTGAAAGAGCAACCAGGTATGGTTTTGGATGCTACGCTCATGACTTCAATGGCAGCTCAGGCTCACCACAATGCGCCGCTGGCAACCCTGCCGACTGGTGCGAGGTTTGTTCGTCCCTAAACCCTGCCGATTGGTGCGATGACCAGTGGTGCTATGTAGATGAGAAGAACTGCAGTATCACTCATGAGGAAACACAACCTCTTGGCAGATTTTGGTCCTACACGACATGTGGCTACCGGGACCTGTTCTCCTTGGAGAACATTACCGAGTCGATCCGTGGTAAGACTCTTCGTGTTCTCTACATTTCAAACACCGGCGGCTGGAAGGGGAACTATTGCACAGGTGTGAAAGGCCAACCCTGCGTGCCTTGCACCCAAAATATCTGTGGCACTTGTCATCACTCTTTTACAGGCTGCATGCCTGAAGCCAAGTTCTTTTGATCACAGAATCGGTGAAAAACGTTCAACATACCGATTTTGGGAGCGAGCGTGCGTCAATCTGAAATGTTCATGTCCTTGTTCTTGTTCTTTAGAGTTGACCTTGTTCGGGGCGTGTAAGCGGTATTACTGTAAATCAAACAACCTCTTAGAGGCTGTCTTAACCGTCCGCGATGGTATTCGACATGGAATTCAGTCCTGTGGTGGGTGGAAGTGTCCCCACATGTCCCCACTCCCACAGTCACAAACTAACGAACTGAAGCCTCAACGTTTACCTAGCCCAGCCCCTTCAACTCGTAAAGATTTTCCGATTCCTGTCCCTGCACAGGTCATAACTTTAAAAAAACTGACAACATCTGACAACCCAACTTGCCCTTGCACAGCCCTAACAGTGCCTACAGAATGTTCTTCCCAACTCGATATCCAACATATCATCCTTTCACAGCCCTTTTCCAGTGAGACAACGATCCGCAGACAGACTGCAGAGCATTTTCCGGGATATCACCAGTGAAAGTTCGCGAGAGATCCGCGGAGATCGTTCCGCAAATGTCCAGCCTCGCTGGCGTCAGGGTTGGGTTGATTTGTGCTTGACTCAGTTTTCTAAGACTCCTCTATAGGTTTGTTGCACAGGTGTTGCAAATGACCCTAAAGTAGCTGTAGCAACTCTCAACCTTTTGTGTGTAGGTCATGCTGCAAGATGCCAGCCACTAATTGTTGATACTAGTTGCAACACATGTTAACTAGACATTGGCTTTAGGGCCATGCTTCGCGATGAGGCCGCAAAAGATATTTTTCCGCCAAGAACGGCAATTCCATTCTATCATGAACATGTAAATGTGGCGCCACATCTACCAGGACCTACTTAGAGACTCCAAACAGGTCACTTTGAAGGTCCTGGTATGTAATTACAACACCACAAGAGGAGTCCAGTTCACCTTTGCAGTTCGCCTTGAGTGGATCTCAGGTGGGTGAGCGAGGGTTTGGCCCCGTGCAACGGCTTTTCCAAGTGACCAGCGCTTCGGCGGGTTTTCACGTGGAGCAAAAGGAGCTGGTTCCTTCAGCGGTCAAAGACCAGTTGGAACGTGTTCTCCCTGGCGGGGGAACCTTTGACTTGTGCCCGTGGGGTACTGGAATGGGCTACTTCGATGTGTGCATGACCTCTACGGTGATGCTTCCCCGTCGTGTGGATGCCTCTCATTTCATTGCTTTGTGGGCTGAGCCAACGATTCTTGTGGGGCCTGTGTCAACCAAAGAGCAGGACATGGACTTCGGTGCCATGATTGTGACAGCCTTCAAACCCTTTAGTCTTAGTCTTTGGCTCGTGTTCTTGAGCGTTTCCTTGTGTTTGGCTTGGATCATCTCGATCATTGAGCTTGATACTGGGGGTCAGTTTGGCGATTCGGACGAGGATTCGGACCCAGGTTGTTTGGGGTTTCTTGGTGATTGTCTCTACTATTCCTTCCTCGGCACAGTGCAGTTCAGCACAGTCTTAGAGCCAAAGACCCTCGGGGGGCGCATTCTGTCCCTGGGTCTGGCGTTTTGGCTCCTCCTTGCAGTTTGTGGCTACACAGCCTCCTTGGCTTCTTTCTTCGTGGTGTCACAACGTTTGCATTCTCCCATCGACGACCTCTCGGATGCGATCCGACTCAATTACAAGATTTGTGTGCATCGGACGGAGACCTGGCTGATGTCATGGTCTTGCTGGAATCGAATCCCTTTACAAGTGTTGTTTTAAAGAGTTTCTCACCTTCTTCAAAGTCAACCAGTGACCTTGTTCCCTGAGCAACCAGTGGTTTTTTTCAGGCCCGTGTGATCGTTGTCAAATGGTCGTAATGAAGAACCACAGGTGTTATTAACGGCACTTGGGTATTTGTTCATCAATAGATCTTCATTATTGCACATCGTTTGAAGACATTTTGTTCGTTGAGCACAACACAGTAGCTGACGTGAGCAACAAGATACCAAACTTACGCATCTGGCGTGCCACAATCTTGTTGTGAAAGAACATTTTACTCATCCAATTCCCAATCTCACAGATCACCTGGTGTACTTTGCCTTGCGTGTTTGACGCATGCACGCTGTTCAATTCTCCCACCCTTTCAGCAAAGAAAAGACTGGCCCGCTCTTCTTGAGACTTGCCTGTGTGCAGGTTGATTTGACAACGGCATAAACCTAGCAAGCACGACGCAACTAGACCAGTTCACATGAGCAAAACAGCAAAGTAAAGGAGCATCTGAGCAACTCAACTGCGTATCACTATGGTTTTGCTTACAGTTGCCGGACACCATCTTAGTTCAGTTGTTTTGCATCTTGCACGTTGTTCAGTTTTTGTTTGTTGACTGACAAAGCCACCCTGTGATGAGCCTACCTGGGCCTACCTGTTGAAAGAAGGTCGGGTAGTTTGCGTTTTCTGGATTATTTGTCAACGATTCAGGAGAGAACTTTAGCCTTGGACACGGGCGTGCTGGAGTCCAACCTAGTGATTCTAAGCCAACGCTCTGATGTCCTCACTGGTGTGGGCAGTTCCTGCCAAGCAGCTGTGCTTCGCCAGGAGGACTTTGAAGCGGCGCAAGCGGCCAATGGAGGGAGTTTTTGCCACCTCGGACGGATCGGCGATCCGGTACACTCTGCCATGATAGGCATTCCAGTGTCAAAGCAATGGGTGTGGCCGCTGCGCCATGCCATCATGACCAGCATTCAAGCAGGAGAATGGCAGAAGGCCCTCGACAACTACAGGCCCAAAGATTATTGCACTGCTTTGCAGGTGCGAACGTCAGGGGAGATGCAAACAGCACCATCCTGAAAGCTTGATTGTTTTGTCATCAATGTGAAAGCATCCTTTAAACACACAAGTGCCCATGCTGATTGATACTGACCTGCCGCGACTGTCCTAAAAAGAAGTAATTATCACTGCACCAAGCAGCAAACAAGGTTCCTGAGGAAACGCCTTAGTCCTCACGCGTGAGTTCCGAGGCCGAGGCTGAGGCCAAGGCAGAGCCAGCAGCTTTGGAGGTTGCGGGCATGAGTGGACCTTTGATGATTACGTTGGCCATTACAGTTCTGGGCTGCGCGCTGCAAGGGCTGTATTGGTGTTACCGGGAGGACCCACCATGTTGGCGGCCCCGACGGCGGGGGGAGGAGCAACCCAAGGCTGGAAGTTGGTGCGCGCGTCTTTGTGTATACTCCAAAAAAAAACTCCAGGATATACAGTTGTATGCCTTGTATAGTCCGTTGTTCGTTCATTCACATGTCATCCTACTGCGAATCACACTCTGTAGAATCGAGTACCTTGTGCTCCAAAAACCGTTTATTGATAAAAGCACGGCTAGACCTAAAGAAGTAGCCTACGCTGCAAGTTGGGCCACCTGTTTTTTTTTGTAGTGATAAATATCTGAACAATACGTATATTATTGTCAGTGTTCGTTTAAAAAAAGGCTCAGTTCCTGTGATTCTATAGAAATGTTTGGGTTGAAAAGGAAATGCACTTCAGTCTAGAAAGAGTTTATGCTGTTTTTACAGTTCTTCGCTCTGCATCTGGTTTGCAAATCCATTCCAATTCTTGGCTCTGCATATGCTTGGCAAATTCATTCCAATCCCACAACCAGAAAAGTTTATCATACATGTGTAGGCATTTGTCCTCTTATCCATTTGTGAAGCACTAACACACCAGTTTCAATCCCGCCACCAATCCCAGTGTTTTCTTGTTGTTCGCTTTTACCCCCTCACCCTTACCGGCCCACCAGTGGCCAAACCCTAAACCCAAAACCTAGAGAAAGGCCTACATGTTCTCCAAGTGTTATCGTTTGATCTTGTGACGTCGGTCCTATACTACCGTATTTGTTGTTGTTTTTTTCTGTGTAGGCTCATGTACTCAATAAAAAAAAAGCTTCACCCAAGTGGTTTGTGCTTCCTATCTGATTTAGCTAGGGGGATAACATGTTTTCATGTTCTCCCATCTTCTTCCCAAAGCTCAGCTCCACGCTGTGCACGCTCTAGCACTGACCAGGTGCAGCTCAGCAACGAGGCGCTTCGGCAAGTTCAGGAGCGCCGTTGCCAGAAGGGGGTGCCGAAAAGGCCCTGTTGGCACCTGCGACAGTAGATGGCAGTAACAGAGGGACATACATGACCATACCGTGAGAAGAATGTGTGCTTCCTTTTGGAGTTTCGTCCATCCCAAAACCTTTGCCAAGCCTTAAGTCTGACCAGTATCCCTCCTAAAACAAAGGAACAGCATGGAAAAGCTCTACTCGTAGCTGGGAGGAGATGCACAAGGGCCTCAAGAAGGACCTCCAGAGCGATCTCACTGAAGCCTTGCGCAAATTTTGCCACGCCATCGCCGCCAAGGCCACCGGGCGGAAACGATGAGCCGACCTCTTTGTTTGTTGTAAAAACGCATGACCAAATGGCGTGTGACCTTCGCTGACGAAGGTGTGATACTGGGCTGGGGTGGGAGGAGCGCAAGTCACAAGTCATTCGACAAGAAATGCAAAGTTTGTGTTCCATTTGCGTACGTATAGTGCTTGGCGGCCCAATGTTCATGTTATACGCGGACGTGTCATTCATTGCACGTAAGCTCGCAGGAACTGATTCAATGCATCTTCAACGCGTGTTGATCAAGACCAGTTGTGAATTACACGCTGTGTAACATGCGGTTGAGATGAACCATGCACCATCCGGAGAGGGTGGGCTCAATGAGCTTAAAAGGGCGCCCCGGCCGCGGTGACTCCGGTCACCATCCAATTCGTTCGTGTGCCGTTCGAACCTTGGCTTTTGCTTTGTTCACGCTTTGCAGCACCTTGGTTTGGCACCCCTGTCAGCGGACTTCGTTTGCCACTGGCATTTCTATATTGGTAGCGGAGCCCGAACCCGGTCTGGGTGAGGGCTCCCGCGCACTCTGCTACGACCCCCCTCGAGCTGATCGCTGGGACCAAGGTCTTCGTCACCTTCCCTTTGAGGGTTCCTTCCCGATCCTGTTTGCTGAGTTCTTTGTGGAACACCCTACGGGGAGGATCGTGGCATCCGCCACATCGGCGCATGTCACAAAAGAAGGGCCAACAACGTGGAAGAGGACAAGCCACTCAACCCGGCTCCAGTTCGATGACATCCAAAGAGGAGAACAGCTATGCCGACTTACGGGACTCCTTCGTTCCACTGTTCTCGGGACAACCAGCTGACTACAAAGAATGGCGACAGCGCATCCAGCTCGACCACCGGAAGATGAGCATTTCCAAAAGAGCTCAAGAGAGCGTGCTGAATGTCGTCGGCAGCTTTCGCGGTGCTGTCTGGCGCCTCTTTGAGGATTGGAGTTTGGAGCAACTCGAGAAGGACGACGCCTTTGAGAAGATGCTGGCGATCCTCGATGGCAACTATGCCTACGATCAGCGTGTACAGCTGCCAACGGACTTTGAAGGCTACTTCAATTTGTTGCAGCGCCAACCTGGACAAACCCTGCTGATGTATGTGGGCGACTATGAGGAGTCCTACCGCAAGCTCCTACAGCACAAGATCTCTCTTCCTGATCCTGTTCAAGGATGGCACTTGCTTCGCCGTGCATCGCTCACCAAGGAGCAAAGACAACTCGTCATGCTGAAGGCTCCCTCCTTAGAGAAGCAGGCCGTCATCGAAGCGCTCTATCTGATCCTCGGTCAAGACTATAAGTCTGGTGGTTGGAACCATGACAGAAACAAGCGTTTCGGCAAATGGTCTGGTCGAGCCTATGCTGCACATGATGAGTGGGATTGGGAGGAGGAACCATGGCCAGAAGACACCGGCTACTATGAAGATGATTGGCCAGTTGAAGAGTATGAAGAAGAGCCAGCCTTCGATGATGATGCTGGCTACTACGGTGATGATCCCTGGATGGCTGAAGACTCCAACGAAACAAGCCCTGAGCACCTGGCTGAAGAGTTTGACACAGCCGATGCTCGTAAGCGGTTCAACGACCTCAAAATGTCCAGAGGATTCCTCCCGGTGGTGGCCTTGGCCGATCAACAACAACCGATGACAGTTGCACCTGCCTCATCATCCTCGAGCTCAACTACCTGGCGAAAAGGAAAAGGAAAAGGGGGCAAGAACAAAGGCAAGGGGAGCAACACCATCCGGTATCCTCCTCAGGGTGCTGGAAAGTCAGATCCCAAGGGACGTGCCAAAGCAGCGATGACGTGCCTACGCTGCGGTCAACAGGGTCACTGGGCTGCAAACTGTCCTCAATCGGCCTCACCAAAGTCAAGTGGTCAAAAGCGACCAGCTCCAACTGAAAGCATGGCCCAGGCCCGTGATGATGAAGCCTCCGAGATCACGATGTTGACCTTCCAAGACAGTTCCGGCAATGAGCGACCGGACTGCGTCATGTTGGACCCAGGCGCTAGCGCCTTTCTCTCGGGGTACCAGCCCTTTCGTCGATATCTTCAACACCTACAAGAGTGTGGCTTCCCCGTGGAGAAGATCTGCATGACTCAAGGTCGACGCCGGTTCCAATTTGGCGGCGATGCTGCATCGTGGTCCAACTGGTCGGCACAGTTACGTGTGTTTGTGGATGGGCGCTATGGAACCATTCAGCTTTTCCTGTTGCCCGGCAATACTCCCATGCTTTGTGGCAGACCAATCATTGAGTCGCTCGGCGTGACGGACTTCGCCATGAAGCGCATTCGCATCGGAAGCTCTGGCTGGACTGAAGCCACTATTGGCCGACAAGGAGAATATCTGTTGTCTCTCACCTCCGACCATGACTTCATCCACTATGACCCGGAGAGACCAGAGTTCACCTTGAGGACAGCTGAACCTGATATGGATCAGACTGACGGCTTCCTCCTTGCCGACTTTGAGCACTCCGAGCACGGCTTCGTGAGCCTTGACCAGGTCAATGACGAGCCCAACGAAGGCATGCGACAGCTCAAACGTCACGAACTCAAGACCATGGACGTGCAGCTGACCACCCATCTTCAAGAGATGTCTGCCTACGTGACCAGTCAGCTTCATCAACCAGAACAAGCAAAACAGCGAGTCCTATGGGAAGTGTACTGTGGGGCGGCTCGCACTGCTGAAGTGGCCGAAGCACTGGGCATGACTGTTCGTAAGTTTGGTCCGGAGACAGGCTGGAACTTCGAACTCCTTCACCATCAACAAGCCTTCCTTGACCTTCAGGACCAGGAAATGCCCGATGAAGTGCTCCTGGCACCTGAATGCAAGCTCTGGAGCCGCATGCAGACTTTAGCAAGACGCACCCCAGGAGGAATCGGATCATGAGATGTCTCCACCTCGACGGCGACCACGGTTGATGGTTCACGAGCCTCCTCAGAGTGAACCTGCTATCACTCCACCAAATGCCTCAGCTCCAGGAGCACCAGAAGCATCATCGGCGGTGGCACCTATGGACGATGAGTACACACCAACATCACCGGCAGCCTCACAAACAGAGGCAGCAGCGGAACCGGCAGCTGCAGACACGGCAGCGGCAGGAACAGAACCACACGCAACAGCAGATACAAACGATTTGCCACGAGTGCCAAGTGAACTCCTTTCCATCTCTGAACCTAGTGAGGAGCCACCAGCAGCACAATCCACACCGCACTCCACTGTGGCACCTATGTCAACAACGAATGCTGAGCGGGCTCAACCACCGACGTTGGACCCTCACACAGCCTCGCTCTATGAGCCGATCGATGCCGAGACTTTCCAACAACGACGACTACGCTTCAACCGTCAAGAGACGATGAGCTTTGCACCACTTCGACCCCGTCACTCGGCAGAAACTGCACCATATGATCCGGCTCGACGACCTGTGAGCTCAGCAGATGACACCTTTGAAGGACAAGCATTCTACTTGGACGACCTCGACACGAAGGTCTTGCCTGTCGGCTGGCACATGGACGAGCACGGCTACCTCCAGCTCACTGACCGGAACTCCGACTACTGCAGATCAAAGCCGGCTGTCTCATTCGACACCATTGTGTGCCACGACGAGGTCGCCTCCATATTGAACATCTTCCAAAAGATTGCCCAGTTGACACTGCAAGGCTTGATCGGATTCGGGTGACGCTCATCCACCAAGCCAACGGCAAGAGCAAGCTCCACACTGATCCTGGCAACGACAGTGCACCACCTCCTGATGTCAACACCACCTGGACAGGAGCAACAATCTTCCAGATCAACGGGGAGACCCGGAAAGAGCTGGCCATGTACACTGGACATCAACAACATCAGCACTTCACCAGTGCGAAGCAGCAGGCCAAGGAACAGAAACTGGCCAAGACGAAGAAGTTCAAGAAGGAGAAGAATGCTGTCAATGAACGCCTGCTCGGCCCACATGAACGAGCGATGCTCAAAGAGGCAAAGGTGAAGGAACTGAAAAGCTTCTTCGATCACCATGTCTGGGTCTTTGAAACCACAAAAGAAGCCGACCCAGCCCGGACTCTGACGTCACGGATCTTGCTCAAGTGGTCACGCAACCCCGATGGAACTCCACGAGCAAAAGCTCGCCTCATCGTTCGAGGGTTTGCCGACCCTGATGCTTTGGCAGGCCGCATCGAAACATCCAGTCCAACGACTACACGCCTCTCCAGGTCAGTTGTCCTATCCTTGGGGGCGACCATGGGCTGGACTACTTGGACGGCTGATGTGAGCACCGCTTTTCTACAAGGTCGCGAGCAAGACCGAAAGCTGTGGGTCAAGCTTCCTGCAGAAGCTCTGGCATTGCTTGGCGCTGACGAAGAAACCCGCATGCTCCTGCTGAAGCCATGTTATGGGCAGATCGATGCACCCCGTGGCTGGTATCTTGAAGCTGTTGATCGACTCCGCCGTGGAGGACTACGCCAGCATGCCCTGGACCCTTGCGCTTTTCTGATCTACGAGACCGACGATGTGAACTACAACCCTGAAGACCCGGTCCATGCGAAGGTCAAAAGCTTGGCAAAGCTTGGGGCCACAAAAGCTGGTTGGCATGGTCATCATGCATGTGGATGACCTCCTTGGAGTTGGATGCATGGACAGCCCACGATACCGTTCTGCGGTGGAGCAGCTTAAGGCCAACTTTTCGTTCAGGGAGTGGAAGGAGGATCAGGACAGTCTCGAGTACTGTGGTTGCGAGATTGAGAAGACTCCCGAAGGAGGCCGAAAGATCCACCAAACCAAATACCTGGAGAAGGTGATGCCCATTGTGGTGAACAAGAAGCAGTCGCCAAATGACAGTCTTCGTGAACGTGAAGTCACTCAGCTTCGTGGCCTGTTGGGGTCACTGCAGTGGCCGGCAGTTCAAACCTCACCACACTTGCAATGCAGCGCCAGCTTGCTCTCCGGCTTGGCCAACAAAGGAACGATCCAAACTCTCATGGACACCAACCGCCTTCTCAAGTTCGCCAAGGAAAACAAGGACATAGGCCTCACCTACAACTACATCGGTGAGTGTGACAGCCTGCGGTTGCTGTGCTTCTTTGACGCGGGATTCTCCACCCGCAATGATGGATCGTCTCAAGGTGGCTACATCCTGATGCTCATCAACGGCAACCTCATGCACTCAGACGAAGAAGGCCAGTACCATGTGCTGGACTGGAGGAGCTTCAAAACTCCTCGGGTTGCCAGGTCATCACTTGGAGCGGAAGCCCAGGCTGGCGGTCAAGCCAGCGATGCGGTGGACTTCACCTGCCGCTACTGGCACCATCTCCTTGAGCCGGACATGGCATTGAAGGACCTGCTCAACATCAGGTCGACTTTGAAGCCCGTGATGGTCACGGATGCCAAGGCATTGTATGATGCCTACCATCGTGAATCCGCTAGCTCCTCGGTCATTGACAAAAGGGTCAGCCTCGAGATCCGCGTCATGAAGGAGCGCCTCCAGGAGATTGATGGTGTTTTGAAATGGATGAGCAGCGACCGACAGATCGCTGACGGCTTGACAAAGGAAGCTGCACGTGTTCTCTTTGCAACACGCCTTCGGCATCAAAAGTTGAAGCTAACGTGGGACCCCTCCTACAAGGCCATGAAGAAGAAAAGTAGGGGAGAGAAGCTCAGCGCTTTGGCTGAGACACCCTCGGTGCCAAAGGCTGCTGCACATGTTTGGCACCGACAACATGAAGAAAACTACATCCCCGAGTCCGAGGAGGTCCAAGAGAACCCGGCAGGTGACCCTCACGTTGACCCTCACGAGAGTGTCAACTTTGTCACGAATGCCCTCGCTGTCACGTATGTATACGCCACAGCTCGCCATGTCGAAAGCCGCAAGAAGTATGTGAGCACCGGTCGCATGAAGAACATCGTGTTTTGGTTGACATGTTTTGCATTTGTTTTCTCTTCCTGCCACGCTGCAGAAACGTGCGATAAGCTGCCCGTCACGACCTCAGAGCCTGCGAACGACGATGGTTGGTTGTTTTGGATGATTTTCCTTTTGCTCACCCACCTCCTGGTGATGACAAGCAGCTGCTGCTTGTGCAAGTGCCTGCATTGGGCACCGGTGAAGGCTTCAAGTGAAGCCGGAGTGCAGAAGGATGAGGCCATTGTCTCGGCCCGACTTCGTGAAGTCTTGGAGAAGGAGAAGCTGAAAAGTGAAGAGTCCCAAAAGGCCGCTCGAGAGGCTCGCAAGGCCTTGGATCTGTGCCTCATGGAGACGCACCGATTCACTGCGGAGATCTTCGATCTCAAGGCTCTGGTGAAAGATGGAGCGATGTTGCTGCGCCGTGTGCAAACGGCCATGGACAACCACATGGAAGCCTGTCCCCACCGTGTGGTGATTGTCTCATCACGCCAAGGAGACTGCTGGCACTACCCTGAGTGCCAGATGGTTGAGCAGATGGCGGATCGCAACCGCCAGTCCCTGCGCTGCTGCGCCTACTGTGGCGACAAGTGGTGCCCTTTGGATGTCAGGAACCCGACGCTTGGAGGCACCCTCCGAGCGGAGATCCATGCTTGGTTTGCCGACGCGAACCTGTCGGCAGACTAGTTTTTTTACTACTTTCCTCCCGTGTGAATTACACGCTGTGTAACATGCGGTTGAGATGAACCATGCACCATCCGGAGAGGGTGGGCTCAATGAGCTTAAAAGGGCGCCCCGGCCGCGGTGACTCCGGTCACCATCCAATTCGTTCGTGTGCCGTTCGAACCTTGGCTTTTGCTTTGTTCACGCTTTGCAGCACCTTGGTTTGGCACCCCTGTCAGCGGACTTCGTTTGCCATTGGCATTTCTACACCAGTTACTATAAAACAACAACAACAACAACAACAACTACTACTACTACTACTACTACTACTACGACTACGACTACTACTACTACTACTACTACTACGACTACTACTACTACTACTACTACTACTACTGCTACTACTACTACTCTTCTTCTTCTTCTTCATTCTTTATTCCGCAATTCCGCAAAGCAAAAGCAAAAACAGGGATGGGGTGGTGGGTGGGAATCGCATTTTTTAGAACTCCAATTGCTGAATTTGACTCCCTAGTTTCAGAATACAGTTGCGGAATCTGACTTTCCAGTTTCAGAATCCGGCCGATTGGTTTTTGAATCCGGCTGTAACCCATGATGCAGCATGGAACTCAGACAGACCCAAGCTGAAAGGTGAGTGGCTACCACTGTCAGGGGGTTGGAGCGGACAACCCCGGAAGTGCACCTTGACCAGGCAAACTGCACAGATGTCCAAGACGCAGCACTTCAACAAACCCTTGCAATTCAGATTGATGTGGAAAAACTAAGTTCTGAGTTCTGAGGCTACCCTTATGAGTACTTGTTAAGCCGTCAAGTCAAGTTTGCAATTGCATGATGCATTCTGGGCAAATGGACCATTCAAATTCCTTGATCAGAGTGACGAAAATTGTCGCGATTTCTGGGTCGCACGTATCTGACTATGGTCCGGCAACGACACCCTGGCGATCTCGGCCGTTTTGCAGGCACCCTTCCCGCCAGCCAGTTCCAACGAACTGGCAGAACTTCGTCAAGGACAGGTGGACTTGAGCAGCCAGCTGAAACAGGCGCCGCCACAGACCAACGTGGCGAGGGTGGCCACTACGCTGGAAGGGTGGTTTAGAATTGGAAGAGTTGGGGGGTCCACAGTTGGAAGTCCACGAAATATAACAATATATCATAATATGTTAAATTGCTGATCATTTTGAAATGTTTTCCTAGTTGACCATGGTCTTGAACAAGATTTCAACCGGCCAGCAGCTCATCACCAGCCGTCACTTGCACATGTTTTCCAAAAAATTCCTCAGCAAACTGATAATCGTTTGTGAGACCATATGTCTCCAGTTTTCCGGCAATCTCGTATGAACAATGTGTCTCTTGCAATGCTTGACAGCCCCTCCAGCCAGGTGCAGGATCTACTTGCTACCGACGTTCTTGTAAAGCGACTTCGATACCAGGATGCGGAGGAGGTAGTGCTGAATGACTCCGTGTGAACATGCCTTGATTTTGTTGTTTTCCCTTGTGTACCGGTTTTAAGACGGTACAACGTTACAACTTGCATCAACTTGCTATGCAAAACGGGTTATAACTTACCCGTTTCCCTTCCCTTTTCCAGGGCATTGCAAGCAGCATGCTCAAGAGTTCAATCGTGTGTTCAAAGGCAGACATGAAGACAAAAAAAGGTCCGGTGCTGGTGTTTGTCATATATAGTCACACACATTTGGATGCTTGGGTGTGTCATGAGAGCTTGAAGCATATTGATGCCTTTGACCGGAGCATACCCGAGCGACTTTGTTGTGATCCACAGCCAGTTTCATTTTTTGTTCTTGAGGGTAATATGGAGCGGTGAGTGTGTACCATCGGCGGGAGACATCCTGCGCCTGTAGCAACCTGAATGTGCAAGAAGTGAATGAACGTGTATAGTGAAGTTCAACTGGTGCAGAGTAATGTGGATATGCATCAAGTGTGACCATGCCATTCCTCTCAGCTGTGTTTCAGGTGGGTTAATCAAAACCAAAAGAAATTGGACCCTTTGAGCCGACACAACGAGGGCATGTTCACTGGCCAAACTGAGCAACTGAAACATGTGGAGCCACGAGCTGGGTCGGATGTGTCACTCCATGGAACGAACGTTGGTGACGTGGAGGAGAATGACCGCGAGCGAGTTCGGAATCGGAAGACCATGTTCGATCCACTAGTCAACAGCTGGTAGTTTTCCACGTAACCATGGTTAGTTCTAGGGAGACACTGAGGGCAAGTCTGAAGAAAGAGGCCGAGCCGTGCTGACATTTGGGGCCACAAAGGCCGCGTGAGTTGCAACAGGCCACGGGTCCAGGACGCAAAACCAGGATTCACAGGAGAAACACATCAGAAGCCCAAGACATCAGCGTAATTCGTGGTCTTAGTAGGTCCAAGCTTCATTTTTGTACCTACCCTCGTTTCATACGTCCTTAGCCCAAAGTTTGAGTGCATAGACGGAAGGATGCGTCAGGGTGCGGCAGCTACGTCGTCCATGTACAACGTCCCATGCGCCCAAGAAAACGCCAAAAGCACTCGGACCCGGGGCCAATCAGTAAGAGGCCTCATGGAAAGTCGCAGTGCCAGTGGTCAGTCTCACCGACGAGACCAGTTTTTGATGCTATACCCAGTGCAGGGAGAGTGCCGAAGCGGTACTCATGTAGACTGATTGCTGAGCCCCCTCGATAACAACCTCTTCATCATGGGGGGGGGTATTATTGAACGAGAGTCTACCTAAGCCTTAGGGGTAAAAACAGACAGGCCTCACGTGGAAGCGGGATTTGCGCGTGGTGTCCACTTTTGATACAACAAGACCCTAAGGTGTACACTGCAAATGTCCGACTTCGTTGGATGCCAGCCTGAAATGACCATGCTTCAGACAAGAAGCCACCGAAGCAGTTTCTGTCCATAAAGAATCATACAATCACAATCACAACGTACTCTGCTGCAATGGGGCCATTCGCACATGACTTGTTGTTTGTGATATACCACCCAAAACAGTGTCCAATTATGTCCAATTCAACCATATCATACTGCTTTATGAAGAACGCCAAATTTGACGAAGGAACTGGCAAGCCAGGCAGCTGTGGCATCAGAGCCAACCATTGTGCCGATCTTGGAGAAACTTGTTCTCAGAGCGGCGTAAAGGGCTTCATGATCAAGCTGTTGCTTTGTGTCCTCACAAGTCAACGCAATTTCCACACATTATGACAAAAGATAAATCTAAACTAAAGTCAACACTAAGCTACCTGGTCAACACGTTGACCATCGATAATTGTCCTCACAAGTCAACGCGTTTTGTCTCCAGCTGGAAAGGAACCTGGTCGCCTCATGAGAACGAAACTGCCTCGCTGCGGTTCTTGTAAAGGGCGCTATGAAGTCTTCGACGCAGGGCTTCTTCGCTGTTGCCTTTCCTCACTGCTGTCGATCCCAAACGGTTAGAACAATCACAGGTCGCCCGACCGAACTCATCAAACAGCTTGGAACAGCACTTCAAACTTGATGAGCCTCACGGTGTTTCAGCAAAACCTGCTTCCCATCACGGCGATCCGGGAGCTGGCACCGGTTCACGGCCCGTTCACTTCGATTCAACGTGTGATGCAGTGCTTATGAAGCACCAGAGTGCCAGAGATCATGGACAAACATGTGGCCCAAGGCATTCCAGCCTTCATCACCAATGATATTGCATATACTCCCATACCAGTAATGCCCATGGCCTTAGCAGCGTGCGTTTTTTTTTCAATCGGGATGTCAAAGGCAGACACGAAGACAAAAAGGTCCGGTGCTCGTCCTAAATAGTCACAAAGTATCACAAAGTGTATGTTTGCGTGTGTCATGAGAGCTTGCAGCAAAAGGCCGAAAGGCAGTAAACATCAGTAAAATTGCACGTGCCACATGACCAAATTGCCATGCCATAGTGCCTTGTCGTGTTGCCATATAGCATCCACAGCAAGTTCTGTCAACACGACCTTGGATGTTACACGACCCGCACAACCCGCACGACTTCGTGTTCGCCAGTCGCCAGGAAGCCAAAGGAGCACGTCTTCGACCCAACTTGCAATTCTACGAAGCGGCGCTCCAGAGCTGCAAAGAAGGAAGACAGTGGCAGAAGTCCTTGGACTTACTGAAGGAGTGATGCTGAAAGAAGACATCAAAACCAAACAAAAAACAGCCTGGACCTCTCAGGGGTGGTTATTGGACACCCCACTTGACCTCTAAGGGACTATTAATGGACACTCTTTCCATGGTGCTGGAGGTCAGTAGTAAAAATCCTCTATTGATCTAAAGCCGCCATCGTTCGACTTTTGATGGAGTTTCTTCAAATGTCATCTCACGGAACAATCGTGGTCATGACTGCGCTTCGGTATAATATCATTCAGATCCCATGATAGATTTCTTACACAATGGCACAGTCCGACGGCTCCCGTTGGGCATTCTTGGATCGAAATTGGAGGGTTTCTGTCTTGGATCCCCTGCCCGCATGGCATCTCACGCCGCATCAATCGCACTCTCATCTGCCTCAGGAGGCGCAAGGCCGCGGTTTCCGCGGCGAAGCCTTGTCATCAGGCTACCAGTCCGCGATGGCCGCGTGTGCTGCGGAAGAGAAGTGGGGTGTGGTTCATGGACTTTTCGAAGAGATGCAGAAAGAGATGACTGCAGATGTTGAAAGCTACAGACTGGCCATGGAGGCAAGCCATGGGCTCAAGTGCCCAGGGAATACCATAGAATTGCTCAGGAGTGCGGAGGAGCAGCTTGGCATTCAAGGCTGACCTTCATGGAGTTGAGAAACAAGTCCTGTATCCAGTGTATCCAGACACAGAACTCTCCGGGGTTTTCTTTCATATGTTTTTTCAAGTGTTTCACACGTGTGATAATCTTATCCCTAGTCCTTTCCCACTCTTTTTCCTGGATGCGTCCTTCCTTCACGTGTTCTTTCTCACCAAGGCAAGAGGTTGAACCCAGCAATGAGATGCTGAACTTGGCCTTGAAAGCTTGTGCCTCCATCTGCCTTGGTCATGTTTGTAAGGGGGGAAGTACTTGGACTGAAGGAGATTAAATGAGATGGATCTGAGATCAATGGAGTTCCTGCAAAAAACGAACAGCTCCAAGTTCAAACATTGACGCATGTTAATAACTTGCTTGCGTCACTTCGAGAGGAATCTTTGGGATCACCATTTGAATCAGTTTGTGCAGACTTTAGACGCACCTATATACTAGGAAAAACGCAAGCTTTTGCATGTTCTTTTCTCTGGCTGGATAAGCGATAGATCCTTTGCCAACACAGCACGTGTACAAAAACACATCTCTTTTTAGGATGGATTCTGATGCATCGTTTCCCTCCCAAATGCAACAGATAATCGATCATCTTGGGAACTTTTAAAATTGATGCCGGTCAAAGACCCAAACCGGTGTAGATATCGGATATCCACAGCCAGAGTTCGGTCTGGCCCAATGGCTCACTTCCGAATGTGCCTTTCCTGTTTTTTTGGTTTTCGCTTTCTGGTTTTGCAAAAAGAACCGGACCAACTCTTCATGAACCGGACCACATGGTGGAGGCCTTGTTTTGATCGAAGTCAGAGGACCCGATGTGCTCGAGCACATCGCTCGCTCCTTTCAGACCCAGTCCAGATCCCGTCACCAAGGTAAATGTGGACAAAGGACCCGGAACACCTGGGGTACCCAACTGGCATAGTCTCAGGGGAATCATTCTGGGTTTCTTCAGTCCGGTTCTTCACCCCGTTTCCGAGGTGCTGCCACGAACAGCTGGGCCGAGGCCTTGCAGATCTTGGGACGTTTCCGCTCGCGTGGCGTGGCGCCCGTGGCTCGACCCGGGTGGTGCGGAGTTCGCGGGAACGAGAACGCCCAGAGGGTCGGGAGTTTTGTTGGGGACCTTTGAGGTTGTAGGTGTAGCCAAGGAACAAAACGTCGGGTTTCAGAGGTATTGCCACTGTAGGGCGCCATCCATGCACTCGTCCATGCGAGTGATCATGTGAGATCAATCCCTTGAAGTGATGGGTACCGACTGGATGCAGATGTCGTTTCAGGAGAGGCAACAAAAAGAACCTTCCAGTTGGATGCCCCGCTGGTACCAAATATGCGCAGAGTGTGCACTGCCCTAAATGCCAAAAGGTCTGACCTGCCGTATACAAGAGAATAAGAATATGCTCCAACCCAGTGATCGCTTGGTCTGCAAACATGTTTCCTTGCTTGCGAAAGACGCCTCACCGCTCAGTGACTTCAATCCGAGGATGCAGACGCATCACGCCGCGCCATCGACCTGCTCTCGAACCGTGCGCGCGAGCACTTGTTTCCAGAAAAAGGGCCCTCGCGCCGCCTGTGGTCCGAGCTGCGGCCGTGTGGCCATGTCGTCTCCTTTAAACTTGTGTTATGTTTTGAGTGCAGGAAGGATGACACTGTGCCGTTAGAGCCCAACGGTAAAAACAACGACTCAATCTGCCAGGCACATGGATGTTGGGGTGGTGTGGCTCGTCCCATCCAGGGGCCGTGGATGTGATGTGGGCACCCCTACCTCCTTCCTCCCATGGATAGCACCCTGTCCTCCATGGAACGTCATGGAACCGCTGGTGTTTGACTTTCTTGGAAATATCTATCTTGGAACCGACCCAACCGACCCCTAAGTAGAGGGGTCTTGCTGAGGTGAACGGGAGTCTTCAGACCCTATCAGCAAGTGTGCGCCAATGAGGCCGGCCATTTTTTGGCACAGGATGTGATTGGACAGCTTTTAGGAAGACTCTCAGGAGAAACTCACTGTAATTGTGTCATTGGTTTTGGGGGGCTGGAATGAGCTTCCCTTTCGGGCTTCAGTGGCAGGTTTTGGAGTGCTAAAGCCGCTAGGGTTAACACTGGTCACACCCCACGCTGGCTGTTCACGGCCCGTTCCGCGCCGGACGTGATGGACAGAACTGCAGGTTGTGGCCACAGGGTGAGTGGGTTTGCCGAGTGTTCGTCGGATGCCCACCGTCCGGAGGGACAGAACAGGACAATAAGACCCCTTTTCAGGTTCCATGTGTGTATCTTCCCATCCCAGACACTCCATGTATGCCATGCCTACATTGACCCCCCAAACCACCCTAATGTAGGCATATATGGCATACATGGTGTGTCTTCCCATGTATGCATTTCCTCCAAATCCGACTCGTCCTGCACTGTCGAAGATCTTCACCCTAGTCACAAATGTGCAAAGTTCGAGCAACCCAAGACTCACATCGCTCCCCTATACTTGGGAAGAAGTGAAGAGTCAATAGGAGTCCATACAGTATGACCAACCAAGCCTTCGGCCCTTGGCATGCTCGAACCTGTGTGAACCTGTGTGAATTCGTATCCACGCATAGGTGCCCCATCAACAACGCGGCTTCATGTCGGACACTGGGACAGGAACCTCCATTTCGGTGCTTTCTCCTTGCCTCCAAACTCGTTAAAGAACATCGCTTGTAATATGGGGATCACATTTGCTCCAAGATGCAAATGAGTGTGGGTGTGTATTTGAAGATCACGGGAGACTTCTCCCCCTTTCTTGCCCCTCTTTGACTGGGTATTTCCTGGTCGATGTCGCTGCAACAATGCGCAGGCACGACTGGACTCCAGTCTCAGGCAGGTTCGTCGAAGACCCGTCCCCGCTACCACGGTGATCGGACTGCGTTGCAGAAAGTGGCCCCAGCCGGCAGGTGCTGCCATGGCCGTCCGTGAAGAACGTGAGACGAACGCGGTGGGGAAAAGAGCAGAGGCGGAGTGAGATGACTTGAGCAGTATCTGCAGTGCGGACTGGGGTGGTGCACAACATATTTCGGACTGGGGAATGGGCCTATTAAATACCCAGACGCTCTTGGCTCTTGGTGAAAAAACCCAGACCCCTCCAGAGGATTCGGGTCCAACCCCTCCAGAGGATTTCCGGGCCGAACGGGTCGCATTTGGGTACTACATCTATTGTTCTTTTTTGGTAGTCATTGGAGGTTCCCAACTGCGAACTCAGCGTTCGCAGCGTTGTCCAGCGTGGTCTCATTCACTGAACACACCACGATCCACGCCAAGGCCGGTCTTGGGGACATGTCCCGTTCTGGTTGGGATGGCCGGTCTGACGGAGAAAAAGAACGCCCTGGCAGCCATGGCAGCCACGCCAGCGCCAGTGCCAGACAGTGCACTAGTGCCCGTGGAGGTCGAAACGGCAAACCGAAGTGCTGGCAGAAAATCATGTGAGCGTTGTCTGTCTGTCTGTCTGGACGCCAAGAGTTTGAGCTTGCATGTTTTGAGGCTTCCGCTCATGCGGACTAGCAGCCTACATGCCTGCAGTGACTCGTGATGACTTGTGTAACTTATCGCTGGATGGAAATCGAGCCCCATGCATGCAGAGTCTTGACCGGTTTGGGTGCTCATCGATCATGTTTGGGTCGTGCACCAGAAAAAAGCCATTGGATCCAGCACGACCCAGGACCTGAAACAACTCGTGACTGTCCAAAGGGTCGATCCCGGCGGAAGAGGTCACGAATCGTTGTTCAAAACAAGAGGTCACGTATACAGACTCCAAAGAGGTCACGAACTGTTTCAGTCCTGGAATAGACCTGTTTTTGTAGGGGTCACGCTTCATTTTCTAGGGTGCTTGAGGTCACGTCCGGCTCAGGTCCTGGTAGTGCTTTTGTTTGCCTCTTTCGAACAAGTGGGATGTCACCGACAATGTCACCCCCTGTTGGAGGGATGGATGGATCCCGAGTCAAAAAAAGGTTCCGCATGTAACGGAGCATGACCGGGGCAGCAACTGGATGGGTTGAGCAGCTTCGATCAGCGCAAGTCGGATGGATTTGATGTGTTGAGCAGATGTCTTCGTGACACAAGAGGTGAAATAGAGAGAGAGAGAGAGACACACACACACACACCTGTCTCGGTTGTACGCCTGTAGACAACCGCCTGGCGGATGTTTGCTCCAGCCATTGGTGCAATGGAACACTGCCAAATATGCAAATGCGCCATTTCAACAGCAAGTCATTTCTCTCTCGCAAATACAAACTTGAAGCTCAACGAGTTTGCTCTCCAACCCCAAAGCACATGGCATCAGTTCACCTTTTGACCTCTCTTGACAAGCACTACAGATGTTTGATTCCGCTCGGTACCGCTGAGTCGAGTCCTTTGTACAGCACTCTTCAGGGCCCGGCCGGTCGCTGCGTTCGGTTCATGCAGTCCCGCTCTCAGACGAGGGTTGGATCATTGGTTCACAACATGGGAGGATTGGAGCAAATCAGTTTGGGAATTGGTTCAGACTGCAGTCCAGTGGTTTGGTTCATGTGAAAAAGTAGTAGATGGCACACTCCCCAAAAGGATCCAAAAGGTGGTTTATATGGACCCCCATCTAAAGGACATCTTCAATTTTGCACCATCGAACCTCTGAAAACATTCCACAGAGCTTCGTCAGGAGCTTCGTCGGTCCCTGGGCGGAGATTTTGGTCCAGGTAGCTGAGTTCATTTCATTTGTTGAGTCTTCCAGGTAGCTGCATCACCATGCATCACCTCCCTATAGGGTACCTGCGACCTGCTTGCTCCCCATGGTCAACAAAAAAGGAAAAGTGTATCTTCCAAGCTCCAGCGACTGCAGTCCAAATCATGTGTATAAGACCGATGTTTCATATAGGGTTGAGTTCGCTCATGCGAGATGACACATCCAACTGGTATGCAAACCATGACTTGGCCATGCAGTCGTCCAACGGTTTTGGATACTGATCAATTTGTAGTTTGTCGGATTCATTTCAGCGACAACAAGGCTCAAGAACACCTATTTATCGGATTGGACAAGAGCTAGGAGTTCATCCTCCAATTTACCCCGAAGTTGCTGTGGCTGTGCGCGACATGTGATCCATGGCGCCAGTGCGTCAAAGATTCCGTGTTGCTTCATGCTGAAACCTGCTGAAACCTTGAAACCTGCTGAGGTCATGTTTTCTGCCTGCCTGTCCATTTGCAGAGACCCCAATGGTGTGGATTCGGAGGAGATCGCCCAAAGCACAGACTTCAATCCACAGTTCGAGGACTCTGCGACGGGTCGACGGGTCGACC